ATCCTGGTGCAGAGAGGGAACCGAAAATGGCCTGGGAGTCAACTAAAATATATGGCTTAATATAGGTATAAAGTTCACAGCTATTTCCTATACCCTGCAGGAGAGGCCAGGTTCATTCTTGCTATGCTGTGTTGAGTAATTTTACAGTTTATGATGAGAATCTGTGGAGTTGGAGTCACCTAATCCTGGGCTTGAATTCCAGCTGACTGATCCCAACTGAGTTCCCTAAACTCCCTGGTCTTCCATTTCCTCTGCTACAATGTAGGAATCATAATAACAACCTCACACGGTTGGAGAGAGGGTACGAATGAGGCAAGGAATGTAAAGTTCCTGAGTCTGGCCCCAGGAAGCCATCTAATGTTTGTTGGTTCTGTTACACACAAATGAGGACCAGAGAGGTAGATTGAGTTGCCCCACGTCACACAGGAAATGAAAGAGCCCCAGGTCCCTGATTTCAGACTCAGGAACTGCTGAGAGACCTTAGGAAGGCCAAACAGGGAAGTCTTTTGGAGAAGGGGGCTTTCTCCTTGGGAGAAACTCCTAAACATCATCCCCAAACTTCCCAGGGGCCCCTCCACCAAGCTGGGAGAAGAGTTTCGCTGGTAGGAACTTCCTCTTGGAGACGGAATAGCCCCAGCATCTGATTCATTCCTGCCAGTGCCAGCCAACCTCTCCTGGGGGCCAGGTGGTTTCCAAGCCAGCTTCACCTGCCCCTCCACGTTGGTAACTACTTCAGGGTGTCCAAACCTGTGGAGGCTATTTCCCAAACCTGGCAGGCCATGGGGCCATGGCCACAGCCAGGTCCTGAATGCTGGAGGGTAGGAGGATTCTCGTGGCTTCTGCTGAGCCGAGTATGTAGGATTTTGAACACAGGGAATGCTCAATGTGCGTCTCAGCTTTTGTCCCACCCTTTCCTGAGTTTTTCTCCCATAGGATCCCCCTGGCTTGGGGATAAACAGCCCATGTTCTGCACAATTCCTGGTCTGCAGCATCCTGGAGCAGGCAGCAGATTTATTTTGGCCTCCACCTCTCAGTGACAACTATTCCCCTCCCTTTCAGGCAAAATAATGGTGGGCCTGGTTCTGAGGGTCCTCAGAATCCACAGCCATAATAAGAAGGATTTAGAATTGACTGAAGGAATATCTTGCTGATGAGAAGGAGAAGTCTCCATGGCAGTCCTTGTCTGTGGGACAGGTTCGGTGGCATTTTTTAAAAAACTGGGATCAAAGAGATGTATAGGTATTTCTGCTGTGCTCTATCCCCTGTAATAATGTTTGTCTCTCACTGGGGAGGCTGCTGGCCGGAGCGGAACAATTTTCTAGGATATGAAGCCTTTGCTCTCCTCCCTGACTTCTAGCCAGTCACAGCATCTTGTTTACCTCTTTGGGAGTTTCTCCTTTTGGATCTTAGAATCTAAAGAATCAACTTTTTCATCCCCTGCCTCCAAACAGGAAAAGTTAAAAAAGCTTAGCCTAGACCAGTGGTTCACAGTTTTGTTCCCCAGGGGACACTTGGAGGCATTTTGTATTGTCCTGATAGGGGGTGGGGGTGGGGTGCTACTGGCATCTAGTGAATAGAGGCTGCCAGAGATGCTGCTAAATGCGCAGGCCAGTCCCCTATAATGGAGGATTATCAGACCCCAGTT